ACTGTCCCAATCTGCCATTTCCTTACAACAGAAACAATTGTTTGGGTTCCCAAGTACTCAAAACTTTAGAAGAAATGGCTTTGGAGGAAGATTATTAAAATATGTAACATAGCCAAATAAGTTCAACCTCTCTTGTTTATGTGAATGTTTTGTAAAATATGTCACTCCTAAGTTCAACCTTTTAATTATGTACTATATCAATGAAGTACTATGCTCAACCTCTTAATTATGTGAATGTTATGAGAGGGACATACTTTACCATAATTTTGATTTTAATATCAACAAAAGATGTTTGCCATTTTGAACCCCTAGTAGTCATGATCTAACATAGAACTTGAGTGGTTGCTTTGATATGCTTTGGAATTATAGGCATGGTAAGTCTATAAATTGGATCATAATTCATGCACCCGCCGGTTTGACACCAGACAAGTGCACACTGCATAAACCAAAAAATTTTAAAAGTAAAATTACAAATTTACCCTCTCACTAAACCATTTCCCAAATGACAGAAAGAACAAATCCTAGCAAAACTCAATCAAGCATTCAAGTACCAAATCCATCCTTATCCTAATCATCTGTAATACAATTGGTAGCCGTACCAGGTGGAACCACCTTCTTCCTCTTTTTTGTTTTTTCTCATTTTTTCTCTTGGGTTCTCCAACAGAACCCAGAGATGGAGAGAAAAAAAAAAAAAAGGAAGAAGGAAAAAGGAAGAAGATAATGAATTTGTTAGTAGAGGAAGATGGAGAGACAAGAAGAAAAAAGTGCATTGTAAGAAAGATAACTTTCAAAGTTAAATTTGTAATTTTTTTCTTATAATTATTTTGTTTCGTAAAATGTGCACCCCGAGTATTGAACCGGGGGTGCACTAAGCATTTTCCCTATAAATTATTAATGTATATGAGTTCAAAATATCCCTTGTATTTAATTTCTTTAATAAAGTACTCTTTTCTGATAAAAATAATAATAATAATCCTCTGCAGCGTTCCCTTCCTCGAGTGAGTGCTAAAGTTGAGAAGCGAGGTACTAGGTAGATGTTGTTCCTCGTTTGGACATTTCCTTTGCTTATTCTGTGTATTTTTTTTTAATAATAACTTGCTTAAACTAATATAATGCCATTTTCAAAGGTAGAAATCATCTTAATCAATAATCAAGTTGTATTACACAATTTGGCTTTTCTCTTGTTCTAATCTTGAATTTATAAATAAATCGCATTGGATTAACTGCATGTTGTGAAGCAGAGCCATATATTCTCGATCTCTTCCTACAGATCCATCGATTTTAGTAGTGGTTTATTCTATTCAATCATGCTAGATGTTAAATTGGTTTTATATATAATATCAAGATTTTAAATTGATTGAATCTTACAAGTTACTCATCGACAATACATAATCTAGTTGTTTACCTTGCTCGTTAAAAATTAGATTTAAAAATTCAATTAATTCATCACAATAGAAGAATAATCATGGCCTAATCATCAACATTAATGCCAAAAAAAAAAGATAAAAAAATCACTAATAATTGCATGAATATATTATTGTTCCCCAAACATGACATACCATGGTGGATATGTACATACTGATAATATACATGAGGTACATGCAGCGTATTCCTTCATGGACATGTGGGTGTCTATAAATACATGTGCCTGCATTAATTGATTTCATCCCAAACACGTACAATTTGTATTCTCCTTGTGTTT